ATGTGGGTGTGGGTGTGTGTGTGTGGTACAATATAGAGATAAATGATATAATAACATTTTGAACATCAAAGAAGATGTATATAATAATGTATAAAAATAAATGAAAAATCCGGGTTAGAGTTTACCTATATACTTTATATTAGGCCTGTATATAAATATGACATTAACGTTGTTTCTCTAATATGTACTAAATTAATAATACACAGTGCAAATATTTTAAAACAGAGTTGTAGGACCATTATGGTGCAGTACTGTGCACCTAAGATGCACCTCCCTAAATTTGCTTGTATCTCTTTCTACCACTCATGTTATACTCCTAGGATAAGATAGGATAAATGTATTTCGGTGTGAATCACACCAAACATATCCGCCCATCTATGTCCGAAGACTTGCTTCCAGTGGGGTCCTTCTGGTGGTGACTCGGGCAGTCACCGGGAGACAATAGCCTACTTTTTTTCCGAAGAATATACTGCATTTTTTTAAACTTGGACCAAGACTTAAACGTCTCATCCAAAAGACGGTGCTCTATCGTAACTTGTATTTCAGCCCTCCAGCTAAAACACAAGGAGAGCAGCGATGGGAATTGAACCGGAGACCTAGAGATCTCCACGGTTCAGCGCACACAACACAGTAGCTACACCAATTTAGCCGACTGAGCTAAGCTGCCTTTAGAGGTCGGCTTTACACACCAGAACCAGAACCAATTTTTAATTGGTCAATATTATAAAAATGTTAATAATTACTCTATTTTGAGACCAAAATATTGGGGCCTGGGGCGGATGCAGAGGGTGCGGTCGCACCCCTTAAATTGTATTAAGAAAAATAATTGTTTTATTGTTTTAAGGTATGAGAATGCAATTTCCGGGCACCTAGAGGCAGGTGCGGATCCAGACCTCTTCGCACCTTTCGCCAATAGCAGTGCCTGGTGGTCTCGCGAATTCCAACTCTTTCTGTCAGAAATGCACCTACCTAAACCAAAGACAAATATATAGTAAGTATTAATCAAAGAGGGACTGTAATTAAATCGGCTGCGCGATAACGTAAGGTAAGGTACACTGTTGAGTTGTTTTATTATTATTATTATTATTATTATTATTATTATTATTATTATTATTATTATTATTATTATTATTATTATTATTATTATTATTATTATTTATGTCACAATGTATGGTTATTACAAAATCAATCACAAGGAGAATAGGCTATACATGTGCGTTGATTCTTACAACCTTATTGAAAGGCATATATAATTTTATTATATTTTATTGTTCCAAAATTACACCAAAGCAAAAACATATTAATTTTAATTAATTATTACTTTTTGATTAATGAATTATTATTTCATTATTTAAACGAATGCTATTCGGAGTTGATAGCCTAATTGTAGACCTAGAGCTCAAAACTTACGAACACATTTAGATAGTAATAGTAATAATATAGTACAGTACATCTAAAGAGAAAGTCAAAAATAACCACCGAGCACTGAGAGACTGAAATGAACACAAAATCTTAAGAAGAGCAACGACGTAAATGGTATGTAAATTTCAATTCATACAGTGTTGGAAGTGGAAAAAGATTTTTTTTTTAAATTGGCAGGTAAAATATAAAGCTTCGAGGCCCGTATATCCAGTTGGTGGGGTGTTACGAAGAGTGTGTATAAATCACCCAACCAAATTTGATACGGTCCAAGTTTCCAAGACAGTCGAGAATGTACTGAATATAAATTTGTGATTTTCAGTTATTAAAAAATAAAATCTTAATTTTTTACATTTTAACTAGTAGGCCTAGTCTACACAGTTTGTCGTAATTCGAAAAAAAAAAAAACGTAATTTATTGATTTTTTAAACTTTGGCCTATGGACACCCTGTGGATGTAATCTATCATGGAACGTGATCATATACCGGTACTCTAAACAATTTTTCGAAATATGACATTATTATGTGAGTTACGCATTATTATACCCGACCATCCAACCACTAAGCATTGAAATGTTGGCAATCGACCAATCACAGAAGCCATTTTGCATATTTAATTACTTTCCCATCTGGTGGCGGTACAATAAAAATGCATTATTATTTTTTCTGAAGTTACAACTTAAAAATTGTGGTCGTAAGATTAATTTTAGAACCGCATTATTAACAAGATTATTAGGTTAATCTTTTCACGTCGACGCCGAGCACTGAAAAAGGATTTTTTTTTTATTTATTTATTTTTTTTTAATTGGATTTAACATGTGTATAATGATTTTGATAAACAATCATAATTCTCTGTACTATCTATTAAACATTTAAAGAATGGACTTCCTTATGTTGTGGTCATATTAGCCTGTGTAATATTTTAAAGAAGACCATTCAGCAAAAACATAAAACAAATTCCCACGTCGGTGCATGCATAACACGTATAATTTCTTGAAATTTAGATATAGAGCGGACTTCCTTATGATTTAGGCCTAAGGAAATATAAATGTATATGGGTCTGAACTTTGTAGGTGACAAAGTGTTCTTCCTTATGTTGTAGTCCTATTAGAACATAATATCATTAAAAACCATTCAACAAACAACATGAAACATATATCAAGCCTTTAGGTTAAACTTTCCGCTTCCGAGAATCCATATAACGCAATTTTTTAGATATATGATATTTGCTTGACAGTCGAGAATGTACTGATTATATAACTTATATGTTTGTTTTTTTCAATTGGACATGTGTATAATGATTTTGATAAACAATCATATTTCTCTGTAATATCTATTAAACATTTAAATAATGAACTTCCTTATGCTGTGGTCATATTATTTTTGAAGAAGACCGTTCAGCAAACAACATAAACATATGGGTCTAAACTCTGTAGGTTACAAAGTGTTCTTCCTTATGTTGTAGTCGTATTAGAATATAATATCATTAAAGACCATTCAACAAACAACATGAAACATATATCAAACTTTTAGGTTAAACCTTATGCTTCCGAGCATGCATATAACGTAATTTTTTGGATATATGATATTTTCATGACAGTCGAAAAGTATGTAACTTTATAGGTAATTACTGTTGTCTGATTGTGTGCATTGAAAATGTGACAACGGACTCGGGATACGGGCCTCGGTTGACACTCATATCAAAGGACCTGTTAATTAACCGTGCACAGGAGCCTGTCGTCACCTGCTACGATACCTCCTCCTCCTCCTTATGATCATCACATCATCATCATCATAATCATCATCATCGCAATTATTAATTGTCCATGCTAAAATGGGGGAAATCTATTAATTCAGTGTGCATTCATTCATTCATCAATAGAAGTTTCGTAATGCACGTAAGTGCATTTCTCAGCATCTAGAAAAAAAAAAAAACACTTTCCGAATAATAGTAATAATAATAATAATAATAATAATAATAATAATAATAATAATAATAATAATAGGAGTACCCAAGACTACCGCAAACCACGCCCCTTCCTAGCCCCACGTCTAAAATAGTCTTTCAGCGACGGAACAAGCAATCATTACGTTCCCTTGACCCCGCCCAATCAGGGATCCCATTATGTGCGATAGTCAGGGTAAAGCTCGGTTTCCATATAATCGCTCACCCTAGCTGTCGGGAAGGTTGAGCCTTGGCCAACTTTTCCGATTGCGTTGCAGACGCAGACAAATCAGGGTGCGTTGCTAGCTGCCCTGCGCAATCGGGAAGGCACCCTGATTCGTCTGTGAGAAAAACAAAAACCGAGCTAAAACTCTGGAGCAACGCCTGAGAGGTCCCTATTCTCAAAATTTTCTATTCCCTCTCAGCCCCAACCATAATGGGGAAAGTGAGGTGGACACTTACGCACCGACACGGAAACTTCGATCTTCTTCACACTCAATCTCGAATTTCCGAAAATGAGTTGTGGCGCTCGTCCCAAATGCCGCCCCAAAATTATGGAATAGTTTCCTCATTATATCAAATCGGCTGTTTCTATTGAGTCTTTCAAAACCCTACTAAAACTTTGATCAGACCTTTCCGATGCCCGTAAGGGGAGGGGTGTCTAAGGGAGGAGGAGCATACGAGGGTCGAGTCAATACTTTTGTTGAGAAACACTGCTTTAAAAAAGCATTTTTACCGCCTGAGAGCGCAATTTCCGAGCATCTAGAGGAGCCTATTCTTAAAATTTGTTCCAAGGGCCAATGTTCCTTAGGGGCCCCTTCGTTTCCCCTACCCATATTGTCTAGTAGGGTCCTCGCTGTATAGCACCCTGATCCAAAAGGGCTTTGCTGATACAAAACAGCATAATGTGTCACTGACTTCGACTGTAGGACATAGGCCTATAGCATATTAATCCAGTTGGGAGGGTTGCCCAGCCGGCCAGGACCCCCTACATTTGTACACATCTTTTTAAAAATGGAGATAAAGTATTAAACTTTTATGTCGGAATGAATGCCAATTATTGCCTTGTGAGGTACCGGTAACTCTCGGGGTGAAATGTTGAATAAAAAAAATATATAAAAAAAAAAACAGTTAACATTATTTTCTGTTTGTGTTTGTTTCCTTGTTGTAAAGAGCGGTGAGGCTTTTTGCTGAGTGCGCTGTAGAAGAATAAAAGAATGGAATTATTATAATATTATTATTGCTTTCTTTTTTAAACTTCTTGATCTTCAATGTTTCAAAGGTGCAAAATCGCAGCTAATTTAATCAACATACATTTTGTTTCAGGTGATTCCGATTCTATAACATTGGAAGCTACGCGACCTACAAAATGCACAGGATCTGACATTGAGGGTTGAATCTAGGAGCCGAATTATTAAAATATTTTTAGAAATGAATAAAAAGATGGTTAATATAATACCTGATACAACTTACCAAAATGAGTCGAGAAAGGAATTCTCCAAAGTACCGCCAAAATTACAAGAGGTAATCAAAATGATAGAAACAATGTAAAATTATATACAAATTCGAATTCAATATACTAATGCTGTTGAAAACGATACACAGTGCATTTACGGGCAGCGGAATTCTGAGAAGACAGATAGCGAATCACTGACCAACAAAAGAAACGAAACAAAAGGTGACCATGAAACTAGAGATATACTAGATAGTATAATCATGGAGGTATAAAATAGATTTTTATACCTCCATGGTATAATAAAGACAAGAGGAATAAAGGTTAACCATGAAGCCCACACTAGTTGAAGGTACGTCCAGAAAAAAATGGAGCCGATCTGAATTGTTTATGACATAAACCTCTGTATAGTATAAACAAGGAGGTATAAAAATAAGGTATAATTTTGTAATGTATGTATTAAATCGGATTAGTACAACAGGTCAATTCGGACCAAAACCAAGTCTGTCCAAACCGAACCAAACTTCCGACGACTCAGCCCAGCAGACAATTCGGGCCAAAACATTAAAAAAATGTATATATTTTTTTCTTTGTAGAACCTTAAAGACTATCGGCAATTTCCTTGTTTATTTCGCAGGAATTATTTTAATTTTTTCATCATAATTATTCATGTCTGCAGTGTACAGAAACACACCCATGTTCTAACAACTCTATCCAGCCCGCTATGGTCGGTTGGAGGGTGTGGTTATACTGCTTTGGGAGGTGGGGGCTCGAAAATCAGTCAAGGGGTGCTAACTCGCAAAATAAGGTTATTCTAGGTGATTTATAACTACCTTACCATGATTTTTTTTTTGTTGGGGGGGGGGGCGACTTGGGGAGCGTGTAATTTTTGGAAGGTGGGGGCGTGTGTCCCCCTACCCGCGCACCCCCTGGATACGCCACTTACGGAGAGCCAGAGAAAACCTTGCATAAAACCAGAAAGGGCCTCTGTTTGTGATTTATAATTGATATAAAAATAAAAGTAATTTACTTGTGCAGTTAAGCCTAATTGTGAGAATTAACACAAGTAGGTGGATTGTTATTTTCCAATGCTTATGCACCGTGTGCTGATAAGTGACCCCATACACTATATTTATTAGTAGTACCGTAGTTCATAGTCTACAAATTGTATCCCATTTTAATACCGTTTTTTAAAATAAGTTCTACGGTATTTTACTCGTATTTACATAGTCAAAGTTTAACATAACAGATATTCATTTATTAAAACTTACCGGCACTGCGACAGATAATGATATAGGCCTAGAAGATGTTTATATGTCTGTCGAACATTTTATACTGCCATCAAATCATCGGATTGAATTCTTTCCCTCGTATTGCTTTTAAAATGATTGGAAATTACTAATAGAAAACGTTGAATGACCTGGATACACTAACACGAGTCGAGTGAGTATGAGTGACTAGTGCACAATGCAGTAATATTGCAAGTTAAAGCAAAGCCTATAAAGATACCAGTTAATACAATACGAGTTATTGACGTCACTCTTTTATTTATGAAATAATACAGTACCGTACTTGACTTGCAAAGCTAGAATTCCATTACAGTATAAGTGATTTATGTGAATTTAAAACTGGATGAGGGTTAAGATGAGCGTGACCTAATATATTAAAATAAATATACCCCATACAGATAAACACACACCAGCAATAAATGAACTTCCAATATATTTTACAAATTTGAAGAACTACAGTTTTCACTTCACGGATTTAATCTGGACTGGATCCTTCAAATCGTATCAAGCAAAACTCATCAACGAAAAGTTCCTTTATTTCGGTTGAATGAAAAAAAAAGTGTCTCAGTAGGTAAATTATAATAACCCCGCTTTGAATAAACGCCCCCACCCCGCTAATAAAGTTCCCCTAGAGCATCCCTATAATAAACGCACTGAGGCATTTATTTCATCCTCTGACAAACGCCTTCTAAATTACTGTAAAGACATCTAATGGAAGCAACATCATTCTCAACACATCTATTAATATGTTACACCTCTGAATGACATATTTTCTTACCTGGTTGAGCTCAAAGTCTTTATGATCACACAATAACAATTTTTCCGGGTAATTATGTTTTTTGTAGTTCATTTTACAGTGAAATATAATAGCCGTTTATTTGAGTATATATGCGTATCCATTTAACACCCAAAAAAATAAACGTCTTTCACGAATAAACGCCCCTCAAAAACTATTCTCAACAATAAACACCCCCAGGCGTTTATTCGAATATAATGTATACGGTATACTATAAAAACCAAAGTTAAAAGTATAATGCCGCCCTCTATATTCAATATAAATTGTTCCGAAATATATGAATGGCTTTAATCAGGGACTCCCTGGTATATCAAAGATAATGTACAATAGTTCTAAATTGTATATACACATAGAGAAAGGATATAAATAAACCTTTTAATACGGTACTCACTCATTTTATGCACACAGTTCAATGGATATTCTCGTTTAAATGAAATGTATATATTTAGGCCTAGATGTTTTTTTTTCCGTATGTGAAATTGTTGTTGTGTAGAACAGCAAAGTCAGCTAATCATTGGATCTCCAACGACTAGGCATATTTTTTGCAGTTCCACAATTACAGTGAAATTAATGGGCGTTTATTTGGGTATGATATGCGTATTTATTTCACACACATACATACACATAAATAAAATAAACGACTTACTCGAATAAACGCTTCCTAAAAAACTCTTCTCAGAAATCGACCCGAGGCGTTTATTCGGATACTGTAGAGTATAACGAACTAAAAAGTATAATGCCGCCCTCTCACTCAATATAAAGGGTTCCTAGATGAATGGTATTATAGCGTGTATATGTAGAGTAGTTCGAAATTGTATACAGTATACACATACACATAAAGAAAGGATCTAAATAAAGCTTTTTAATACTCACTCATTTTATGCACACAGTTCAATGGATATTCTAGTTCAAATGTATATATTAAATTTCCCACCCCCCGCCTTTTTTTTTTATATCTGAAATCTTTGTTGTGTAGTCTACACAGTAGCAAAGTCAAGTAATCGCTGGATCTCCAACCAATAGGCATTCGTCTAGGTCACGTGACTATTAAAAGTATAGACGCTGTTTTGATGTCTCTGACTCGACTGTGGTTCTATGATTCATGCGAGAAACATTTGTAGTCGGCTTCTCGTGGTATTGTGTTTTGGAATTGTTCTTATTCTTTATCAGTGTTTAAAATATACATATTAAACCATGACTTGGACGTACAGCATGTGATAAGGATTAATCTTACTTACATTGACGTGAGTACGTTGTGCCTTTCTTTTACATGCTTACTACGTAGCGTAGTAGGCCACGTAAATTAGGTTTAGGAGTCTGTTGCTTTTTTGTGACGGCCGTCAAATTGAGGATAAGGTCACTGAATGTTATGTAGACGGGACTCTCTGTTACCCCTGTGGTTGCAATAGGCTAGGCCTAGCCTACCACTTTCGTTTCTGGATTTTAATTATAATCGGTAACTATAATAATTCGTAAATTTTGAATCATTGTGTGATAATAGAACTTCATATCCGCTATTAAACAAAGTTTATAAATCAACTTGTTGCAATGTTTGATTGTGAAAATAATTCACTAAAAATTAAAATCACTTCTTGGCCTACCTAGGGCCTAGCCTAGGCTTGAGCTAGCCTAATAGGTCCAGCTTAGGCATCATCATTCGAATCATAGGCTAGCCTATGACTATGGCATGCTGTTGTGTTTGACGAGTTAGTACTGATGAAGGTCTAGTAGGAGGTCTAGGCCTACTACTACTAGGCCTAGTGAAGGTAGGCAAGCCTAATCTAGGCCTAAAATCTTTAACTTTAACTATTTTTCATAATTTGTTGATTTGTGTACAGTTGGATGTTTGTTAACAATTTGGAGGACTCTGTTCAAAGTTTTTTAAAAATAGTTAATAAAAAAATGTGCAACTTGAAGTATTAATTTTATATTTTATGAAGTAATATTAATAATTTAATATTTTCCTTACATACAGGTATAGGAGATCAGTATGGATATTATTGTGAGTGATTTTGACTGGATTCTAAGACATTTCAAAAGCAACATTATAGACTCAATATGCGACAGTTGTAAACAGAATTATAGTTCAAAGTTCAAAAAAGGAAGACATGTTAATATAAAAAAGGACTGCAATAGGCTCCCTTCAAAAACACGTCCAAATATTCCATCGATTGCTTTTCGGATTGGATACAAAAAAAGTTTGATTTTACCTGTGCTATTACATCTCTGGATCTTTTCATGTTTTATGTGGAGGACAGCGTATGCAGGTACAGTAACTGAAACTGTTGTTAAATTTACTCATAAATTTCAGAATTTAATCTCTGTTTTTCTTCTTTTCGTTTTCAATCACTTATTCAATTAAAAGGAGGTGCTTATGTAAGAAAAATTGCATTTACATATTGCTGGTATGTTAAAATTGTACAAACATTAATTTAAGGCATGTTAAAAATGTTCCTATTAATACTGACTTTAGAGAGCAGCTTAGCTCATTTGGCTAAACTGGTGGTACATGTAGCCACTGTGTGTGCGCTGAACCGTGGAGATCTCTAGGTCCCCGGTTCAATTTCCATCGCTGTTCTCCTTGTGCTAGTAATTTTTTTTTGTTTGGCCAAATATTGGCTAAATTATAATGATGCACCTAGTCAAATTAAGCCTGTGTATTCACACCAAATCTGAATTTTCAGGTCAGAAAGCCTACCAAAGCAATCAAAAAATCGAATATGTTAGAATAGGCATGCTGACGTTCAGTGCTTCGGAAATGCAGTCCGAATTTTGCTGATTTCAGTTATGAATGCAGCTTACAGTAAGCCAAGGAGACTGATAAATATTTTATTATGTTGTAGAATTAGAACCTTCTGTATACTAATATCGTTTTGTTGCACTAAATAGTAGTCTGATTATAATAAAATTAATATATTTCTGCCTTTGTTATTGTTATTCCATCAAATATCTACCTATTGTATCATTACTAGACAGTGTTGATTTGTTTGTATTGCAAATTCACAATCACATCCTTTGCTGCAGTTATTCTTCTCATAATATGAGCTGCCAGTTATTGTGTTTCAAAATATTTGATGCTACGGAATATTATTATTACAGTATATAATTAATTTATTATTTTGATATTAACTGAAATTGCTCCCTCCTGAGCTTTAAATAACAATAACAATAGTATTGATATTGAGCTACTAACTAAATTACAATAAAAAGAAACTCTTTATTCTTGTAACATTACAGAACAGGAAAATTTCCTGCTGATTAAATAAACGAAGAGTATTGGGTAAAGACAACTTGATTTTTTATTTCTTTCTCTATAAAAGAACTCTCCAATTAAAGGTCACCTTTCTGTGGCCCAAATAAGAATGTCTTTTTTATTTTTGTAATTGTCTAATTATAAAACAAAGCTAATAGTCCAAGCTACTGTAACCTTAGTTACAAAAGTTTTAAATGGAAGTAGACCTTCACTAATGTAGATGAAAATAGTCTACATGCATTGGAATATTACATTAAAAGATGTACAGTATAGAAGAAGCCAATAAACGGTAAACAACAATAATAATATTGATCATCAATAAAAGGGCAATAAATGTTGTTACTAAGTTATTAATATTAATTGTTGATGAATTTTAAAGAGATATTATTATTATGACAATTACTTTATTTTCTAATACTGAAAACATATCAAAATTTATTCAATACTGAAAGTGAGCACAGTAGCTAATAATGGGCTCTTTCACCCTAATTTGTCTGAAATTAAGTTGCTGTTCATTGTCGTTTTGTACAATGATGTGACAGGGTAAAAATAACTCATAAAATTGCTTTTTTCTAGTGTTACAAAAACCAGTGGGAACAATCTGGCTTTCAATACTTGTTGGATGACTCTACAATATCAAGACAATAGTAGGCCTACATATACCCAGGAGTATTGAGCTTTGTATAAGTTAATCCTAAAAAAGCTCAATATTGGAATTTCCTAGGCTTTCACAAATTTCAATTGAACCACCTGATTGCACAATTCTTGAAAGTCCTTTTACTGTTAATTCTTTGTAGGAGAAACCCTACTGTTAGTGGTAACATAAACAACTCAAACTAGCCAATTCCTTGCATTGTGTCAACTGATTTATACAACAGAAGTTTGGGGTAAAATTTCAGTATCCTTCAATTGAGCCGCTGTCTTTTTATTTATTTATTTTTTTTTCGACTTGTTAAGGCCCTATAAAAAAATATTATTAGTTTATCACCTTATCTGGGCAGGAAAAGTGATGAGGGAGGGAGGCTTTTTTTTTTATTTTTTATTTTGGTAAAGCCAAATATCACTCTTGGGTTGTTTGCTGGTGCATTGATATTCAAAGTAAAACATGATTTAGATAATGCAAACAATATCTAACTATTTTATAAAATAAATGAAAAAAATAAATAAATACAATTTCAAAAAAAAAATTTAAAAAAAATAATTAAAAAAATTTTTTTTTTTTTCAGTACCATAAAAGGCATGCGTGTGAGGGTGATAAACTAATCATTTTTTTTATTGGGCCTAACATTCAGTTTATCCTATGGGTTCATGCTTAGTTTAGCTTGCATACACAAATTATACAATAAAAATTAATTATAATAACATGCTAATGTATGAAAAACTGGCTTCAATGCAATCAGTTCTGTTTGGAATATACTGTATCTTGGCTGTTGATCAATATATTCCTTCCTAGAAATGGAGTGTTTCGATTGATTATGTTTTCTTATCTGATTTAACACATATTATTTTTGTATAGGATTTTTAATTTGCAATTTAATTAAAGTTTCAATCTGAGATTATAATATTTTGTACTTTCCATATTATATACTGTGCCCCATACATACAGTAGATTCTAGGCATCTGATTGGTTAAGAAGCGGGCAATAGAAAGTACTATTCCCCTGAAAAAGTACTATTCCCCTGAAAATGGTGCAAACTCTAGGCCACACCATCGCGCTGACGGTAGAGAGAACTGCAACTTCTACGACGAAAGAGATTGGCCCTTGACCACACCATGGATCAGCGAGTAGACAATAAACAATAATTATACCCGAGGAACTACAGTATGGTCGTTGGTATATTTTTAAAATATTTTCTGATCATGTATCAGAAGTATTAATCTGTGATTATTAGCATTCAATATTATTAGTACAAGGCCAGCCCGAGTTAATATACATAATGTTCCATGATGTTTTCCCTCTGGATATTAATAGGGTAATTGGAGGTAAAGTGTGGGGGTGGGGGTGGTATGACCTTATACCTGAGGAACTATGCTATATTAAAAAAATTTTTTTGCTCATAAATCAAGTATCAAGTATAAATCTATGATTATTTATTTACTTAGTAAAAGTATTAATGCTAAATAGGCCTACTGTAGCCTGAGCTATTAATATTACAGTAGGCCTATTGGAGGTAAAGGTCAGGGGTGGGCTTGTATCTGAGGAACTACTATGGATCAGAAGAGGTATTCTGTGACTATCCATATTATTAGTATACTGTAGTCTTCGTTATCCATAATGTTCCATGATGTTTGCCCTCTAGATAAATAAGTAATCTTGGGAATGCATTGTTAATGAAATTTGATGCTGTAAACTTTCCCATGAACCTTCCCAGGGGAAGATGCAAACTAATGTTGAAGTTGGCAGGCATCTGAGTTTTTCTCTCATTAGTTTCAACACAACTTGCTATCCAAACATAACCTCATTCTTGTCACTTACAAGGTGTCATCAGTGGAATGCATTGGACAGCCTTCTCAAGAATTCAATTCCTGTTATTGTCATCGGATATCCATTAAGGCTTCATCTGTTATTTGCCTTAAAGAAAATCAAATTATAAACATCCAGATTCAGAGTTAATAAACACAAAAAATGACACTGAAATTAACTCTGTGAGATATTCTTGTCATTTACAGTACAGTATGTTATTGGAACTGTATCAGAATTTGAGGGAATAAATTATTGTGATAAACTGTATACTGAACTGCACAAGACCAATTGACGCGCTATAGCTGAGTGTTTAGCGAATAAGCAATGTTCTTGCTGATGTTAGCTGTAACCTCGCTAGCATACTTTTTAAGTTGATCGCTTAGCACTCCAATAACTCTCAAATAAGTGTTGGCAGAATAAGCCACGAAGTTAGGCCAAATAAAATAATTAATACTGTATAGTTTCTTGTCCCTCATGCATCCGTTTTCTCTGCCTCATCAAATTTTGGCTTACTCATCAGTAAAATTCCTCTTTCGATTGTTTGTGGTTGGGGATACTGTACATGTGGTATGATTCAGTGCTTCTTTTATTTGCTCTCGCCTTATCCATTTCATATTGAGTACAAACTACACTGTGTCTACCCTATGTCTTCAGGGGCCAATCAAAATTTAATTTGAAATGGGACAAATAATAAAAACAATGTATAATTTATTTTAGTTTTATTATGCAACTTGAGTATATTTGCCCAATCAAAATCATACTATAGTTTTTAATTTAGACAATTACATTTATAAACCAAGAATTTCGATTGATACTGTGCTGTAGACAGTTACTGAGCATTGCACATTCTTTATACCAATTCCATAGAGACCAGTGTGGTCAAGTGGATGCCTCGGGCGTTGAACTTCCAATCACATACTGTAAATTCCCCAATTCCATAGGCTATTCTCCATGCACTGAATCATCATTTGTGGTCAAGACAATAATGAGAGAGAGAGCATAAGATTTTCCTAACCAAATGCATAGTCAAGGCAATGAACAAACCGTTCAAAGAATTCATTAATACAATTTGCTGTCAGTCATTTTAACTAAACTTTTACAAGATAGGCCATATTTTAATGGTGAAACTTTTATTAATATTTAAAAGAAATTGCGATTTTTAAACAATTAAAAATTCTTATCTGAATTTTAAACTGTATTTTTATATTCTTGGAAAGTGCTAAAATTTTTAATTTTTAAGCTATTTTTGTTATTTTTTTACAACACTGGAAGGCAAATTTCATGTAATGTTAACTATGAAATAAATCTAATTTTATCTTATCTTATGAATTTACCAATTCCCCAAGCATTTTGCTTAACAGTGTTTTTTTTACTGCTAATGTGAATAGGCCTGCTGCTTGGACATCACCTAAAAACAAATTTGATTTACCAACATATTTCTTTGGATCTTGCCTTTACTGTATTTGGTTAAGATTTCCAGCTTCTCGTCTCGTAAATTACATAAGTAAAATTCTTATGACTACAAATGATATGCCTTGTTATTAGTTTCTTTTCTAATGAAACTAATCATGTACTAATTGGCATCTGCAATTGGATCTCATCTTCTTGATACTATGTCAAGTATCACTACACTAATTGTTGTTTGAGTAATTATATTTTCCAGCTTATTAAATTCATGTGTTTTTATGTAGAATATAAAAATAGTAGCCATCAAAGGCGAATATGCAATTTTTTTTTCAGTTAAAATTTTATCTGATAAACTTTGCACTGATAAAAAAAATCAGGGTCTGAGAGAGGCTCAGCTCTACAGTACGTTAATCATACGTAGTAATCATACATTTTAAGAGTAAAATACTTAAGAGTAGCCTATATTTTTCATCCCTCATTCAAAGATACTGTAGGTTGTGCAGTCTGGCTGAGAATTTGTCCTTGGACAGGTTACAAGGTACAGTAAAAAAATTTACTGTATTGTTCCACTTCACCTGTGGTTTACAGTAAGTGTGTTAGCAAAGTAGAATACTGACTAGTCTGCATAGACCTGTACAACTTGAGGTATGATCTAGAGAATTTTGGGTACAGTATGCATCCTGGTACCTGCAGTACGAATGAATTAGTCGGTGTGCAGATTCATGACAGTGGCACGACCTGTATACGCCCCAGGGAGTCAAGATGATTGTACATTGTGCATCATTGCCTATAAATCCAATGACCGACGAAATCCCGTCGCCATCAGCACCACTTCACGTGTGTACGTACTGTACCACACGCAGTATGAAATACACCTTCGTCTAACACCTTCGCTGTTTATGAATTAACGATAATCCATGCTTACAACAAAGAAATGATATTTTGCACGTTTCAAGGTAGTACTGTCTACTGTCTCGAGTTAAGGAGTTTTTGTCTCCAGGTTAAAGCTATCTGCAACCTAGTATGTGTTTGATGCATGCACACTAATTAAATTCTGGATATTGATATCTATGGATGTGATGCTCGTAAAATTCCTTTGTTGACAGAATTATCAGATGTCATAAATATCACATGTTATTTTGAATAGTTTTATAGGATTTTTTTTATTGATAATTTTGCAATAAATTTTGTTCAATGTTAGCGGTGTTTTTTTTTATATAAAATTTGAAGATCAAACCTTTCAAATCTAAATAGATCCAAACTTTATTATGTAGGATTTCTGGAATAGGGTAATGCTAAAAAGCTCTGTGTTTGACAGACTTGATAAATGGTGGCTTATCTTGTAAGCACATAGATTTCAGTAAAAGTACAAAAATATATACCATGTCAGGACGACAAAATTGCCAGCAATATTTTATATTCCAAAAATAGCAATGGAATATCAACCATCTATGGCCTACCATACTACGTCCTGTTAAGACACTTTTTTTGTGGCCTTGACTATGTGGACTTCATCATTTCGGCCAAAATATTTGAGTTAATACACATTATTCAAAACTACTGTATTATAATAAGCAATGATGGACAGATAGTGAATTTGCTTACAGTAGCTGTTTGAAATACAGAACCAGTTTTAACCTAAAGGGTTTTGCTGTAATTTAAATGAATACAGCGGAGGCTTGGCCTACTTTATTAATGTTTTCATTGAATGTGTAAAGTTTGCGAGTGTATTCATTGCAATTGTATTACCGGATTTATATATGCAGAGTGACCAGACATACGTGCTGTACAGTGGCGCACTCCGTGCAGGCGCTTCTGCAGTAAGCATTTTAATTGGTTCTCGATATACCTGTATTGTTTACTGTGTCTGCGAACTGTTGGAATGCCCCATGGAAATATGCCAAGGCTTCAAACTGTCATTTTACCACCTACATTATTTTGGGCTACTATATACTTAAGGTGGTCAGGTACAGAATCAGACCAAAAACCCCATTGTGTTGGTCAAGCCCCTCACATACAGTACACTTTTTTTTTTATAAGAACACATTTTATAAGAACACTGAGGCTGAAATTGCTTAAAAATTAAGAACAATACAAGAACAAATTGAGGCTGAGGTAAAATGTCTAATGAGATGTTTATATTAAAACAACTATAAAAAAAAAAACCCAAAAAACTATATCTACTACATTGTGTGCAGTAAGTATGTAACACCCTCTATAATGCAGGACAGTAGGTGTACAGCCTGTCATTTTGGACCATTTTTACCGGGGCATTTTTTCTGTGGCCATATTTTCAGGGGCCCTTTTTTCAGGGACCATTTTTTTTCGAGGGCACTCTTTACCTACATTCCAGTACAGTGTATACTGCTGTACAATAATATTTTTTTATGTTCGAAAAGTGTGTATTAAGAACAAAATAAGAACATGAGCCTGAAATCGGCCAAAAAATAAGAACACTGAGCCATAGCTAAATTTTACTGGTTCTTATAAAAAAAAAAAGTGTAGTGTAAATATTGTGCTACACTGCCCTTGAGTTTAGTCATGGCTTTTTTGGCAAAAAATGTTTTAATGTGGAGGAAGCCTGTAATGCTCAGTTTGTAAGCTAATTTTTAAGCTTCAATTAAATTGTGCTTTAAATAATACCATTTTATGAATCAATATAAAGTGAGTGATAGTTGGGAATGAATTATAAAATTCATATACAGTACATTAGGCCTTCTGTAGGCCAACTCAGTAATTTGTTTTTCCATTGTGTTTGAGCAGCACAAATTTGTTTGTCTCCTTCAATATTAATATCTGTGTTGTAATTGAATTGAACCAGACTAGCATCTTGTAAACAGCATTAAAATTTAAATAACATTTCTTATTTTTGCTATCCTTCCCATCTAACTTTCTTTTAATTTTTTGTTTTTAGTTCCAGTTGAAGACCTGCATTATGGTAGAGTACACATGATTTTGTTATTTTTTTATGTTTACTTTATGTTTATTATCAGTTCATACCATCTTCACACTTCTTTCAACTGTATTCTAATGAATTTTTGAATGGTTTTGTTTTGGTTTCTCCTGTTCTGATTGTCTGTTGGATCTCTTTAGTAACATTAATTGTAAATAAACTGCGTGGGCCTTTAGCAATCTAATTTCTTCAACAACATCACCTTTTTCTTCAGCAACATGTAGGCCTACGTAGTACATATTTCATGCTTCTTTAGCAACATAAATTTGTTGGGCCTTTTCATGAACACATTTTGTGTATAGCTTCATCAGCAACTTCTACGTTTGTTGGACCTCTTCAACAATAGTTAGTGTGACATCATTAGCAACATCTACATTTTATGTGACATCTTCAGCATCATTTACATTAGTGTTCTTCAGAAACATTGTTAAAAGAGAACTAGCAAAATGATTTTTTGTTCTAAGAGGATTTTTGATATGCCATTAATAATAGAATCCACCTTAAAAAAAGTTTTTTGGCTTTTTTTTAATGAAGTTATAGGCGATTATATATGATTTTACCATGACATCACTGGCGAAAAAGTAAAAAAAGTGTAAATAGCGCCTCGTAGGGTATCCGCCGCGTATGATCTTTGCGTGTATGCTGTAACCATGACTGTAAATTGTGATTGTTACAACATGCACGCAAAGATCGTACGCGGCGGATACCCTACGCGGTGGATACCCTACGCGGCGCTATTTACATGATCTTTTGTTACTTTTTCGCCAGTGACATCATGGTAAATTCGTATATAATCACCTATAACTTCATAAAAAATAGCCAAAAAACAATTTTAAAGTCGATTCTATTATTAATGGCATATCAAAAATCCACTCTAGAACAAAAAATCATTTTGCTAGTTCTCTTTTAAGCCTCTTCAGCAACAGCATTTTGAGTAAGTGTAAGCAGCAACAGCTACATTTTCTGCATGTTTCTACAACATCTACACATGTTCGGCTTTTTAGTAAAGTTTCAGAACATTTGCATATTGTGTAGCCTCTTGAGCAATGCAGTATGTGAATTTTTTTTTTAGCCTTCTCAGCAACATTTACATTTTATACCGGTCACTTCTTCAACATTTTATACAGTTTCATTCATTTCAATTGCTATGATTTTCTTTCTCATCTTTACAATTTTCCAGTGTTTCAGTGACTATCCTTGACATACAGTAGTTATAGTACAATAGGCTAAGTCTCATCTCACACAATAAGCATGTGATTGTCAATGACAACCACTTGTTGGTTTTAGAATACAGTATTGATTTAAAGCTAATGTACCAGGCTCCTGATTTGAAATGTTCTCAAAACCTGGTAGTGATATGACATCACCATGCTCATAGATGCGACGACATTGTCCAGGGTTGTAGCGGTAGAAAAGTATGGGTGGTTGGTAGACATATTAAGAGTGGGTATTGTAGGTGATAACATTACAGTATAATAAACTTTAAGTAAAAAGAGTGGATTTTTTTTAAGGACGGAAAAGTGGGGTAATATGGGTGGGTGGAGGGCTATGAAATTACCTTTAGACCATAACTACATCCCTAATTGTCAACCTCATCTTGTGTTGGGGATACTGTAGTGCTTAATACATCTTTAATGGCATAGTTTCATATTAAAATATAATCTAGTAGCATCATCCATCTTGATGTGACAAGAAGCTTGCTGTTACAGTAGATATCAGTAGAATTATTAAAATTATTATAATTGAAAAATATAATTTTAAGAAGAAATATATGAATAAGGTTACAAAGAGTAAAGAAAATATAATGCCATGTGCATTCTGAGTAAGTATCACCATTAATGATCTCCTGCTTCCTGAAGAAAGTACAGTATTCATGTTTCATTTGAATCAATCATTCATTCATTTCATCACAAACACTTTAAAGTTGAGCTGCTTCTTTAAATGCTTTAACATAAAATCAAAATGATGATCACGTGAAATTACTGCTTCAATCATTTTCATACAGTATGTGAATTATTATGTCAGATTACTTTTTATGGTTGTGAAATTAACGTATTAAGCCAACCATATTTTTACGAGGTCCACAAATCTATTTTGTTAACACTTTGATAGATGGAAGTACTGTACAGTAAGTACAGTAGTAACATAAGGACTGTGCCATTAAATATGATTTAGTGCAGTGGTTTGAAACCCTTGCAGGGTAGACAGGACAGTATTTCCCTTGTCTGTGTGCAAAGTATAGTACTTTGTCTACTGTACGTTGGTCTCTCTCCACCCAGGAGGATGGTTACCAGTATAATGCTGAGAAGGTAGACACTCATTTTTGCTAAAGGATTGATGAACCCCGGTTGTAGGTGTAGAAAACTAAGGGTGGGTGATTGACATTTTAAGGGTGTGTGGGTTGGTGATAACATTAGTAAACTCTAAATAATAAGAGTGGATTTTTAAGGATGAAAAAGTAGGTTAATAAGTTTGCGTGGAGGGCCATGACATAAGCTTTTCAGACTACAAGTAGGGCAGAAAACTTCAAGGCTGAGTGGCCCAGCTTACCTCCGCCCATCATAACTACTCTGCATTCCTAAGCGCCAAGGAATGAAAAGATAGATAGATAGAAATCTTTCTTTATTCTGGATACTTAATCAACTTTTACATTGTTCTTCCTTAAGGTCCAGTTAATAGTTAAAACATTAAAATAAGAAATAAAATTAAAATTTTTTTTCTCAAAAGAATTTTTTTTCAAAATTTTTTTTTTTTCAGTACCATAAAAGACATGCACGCGAGGGTGATAAACTAATAATTTTTTTTATTGGGCCTTAACCGGGTGGTGTTTGAATGTTTTTTTTTTTGTCCCAAAGAGAGGTCCTGTGGCCTATTGGCTACTTTCTGGACTTAAAAGTACAGTACAGGTAGAGTACAATAGTTTTTAATGAAGTTTAATTACTTACTTTATACTACTTAAGTTTCCTTCGGCCCAAGGGCAATATTCACTTCTTGTGAGTTAGCTCAGCTATGTGGGACAATGCATTATTTATGAGAATTTGTTAATGGACTAAAATAACCTGCTCTTAATGCTCATTAATAATGCATAATAATATGTAGACCTCTAAAATAATAGCCCAGAGGATGTAAACTTAACTCAAATTGGCCTTGGATGATGTAAAAACCAACATTATTTTCATGATTAATGCTGTATGTAGAATTAGTGAACGTCATTAGATTCTTACACTGTTAAGACATCTTAGTTTACAATATTCACGAACGAACCAAGTTTATTATAAATTTGTATTGCATTTCATCTCTAAATTTAATGACCTACAAATTTCTAACTTCATATAGAATTTAAGATGGAGAGAAACTAGAAAAAGTAGATAACATTTATAGCGGAATTTGTAACTGTATAGCACAGTCCTAAAGCCATATAAAAAAATTTTGAAATATATCAAAGCTTCCGTGTAGATAGCCATTCGTCATGAAAACATTCAGTGCCTTGTTGCTTATAAGTTATGTGTGATTCTACATAGGCAGTTAGTCTGACAAAAAGGATCGCTTTGCTTTCATTCATCATCCAGAACACAAAAAAAAACAAAAAACAAAAAAAAACAAAACCATTTAAATGAACCGTAAGATTTGTAATTACTCAAGGCCAAGACGTGTGATCATGCCATGAACGCTGTGAATATTTATGGACGTGACATTCGGTTTAATGCTAACGTCACCTTTTATTACAAACTCAAAATTAAATTTATAATGTCGATAAAATGACAAAATATACAGCTTATTGAAGTCATTATTTTTTTATCAGTAAATTGGAAATACTTATTACAAGTTACTTCATACATTATAGTAAGAATTATTCATTTAAAATTGAAAATTGTATAAGTAGTTTAATGCCTATTCACACTATTGCATTCTGTGACAATTATCAGAGATTTGCGCTTATACAGGCATGATAATGTTGTCGTATCACCCACCCCCCCAAATCACAGTTGTCACAAAAACAACGTTAGAGAATTTTAAAGGAACTAGTGATATTATTTTTATGATAAATTAAGCACCATCGGATTAGACCTGATACAAAATCTTCATACTGCAAATATTTGATTGATGTGTCCAGTGGATTGATTGATCCTTACCTGTGCTTTAAGCTGCACTTAGTAAAGTAGCTCGGTAGTAATACGATTGTAGGTCGTCGTCTTGAATTTTATTGGATAATTGTTAATGTTATATACTTGCCAGATTATAAAATTTAGTTAAGATATTAGATCATAAAAGTAGGATAAAATACAAATGAAATGAGTGCAGTAGCTTTGTTTATCCCTGGTCTCTTTAATTCCAGCAAGACATTCTGTTTATATTGCTCATTAATTTATCATAATTTGTTGAGTAATCAGTTTGATCCGGTGTTTTTCACTTCATTTGCCTGATGAAGCCAGCTCAAGCTAGTAAAATTAGTGTCTCAATAAATTTTGTTAATAGTCTAAAGAAATTGCTAACTGTACTCATTTCATTTGTAGTTAAGATATTAAAGTCTGAAAAAAAAATGTATTTCACAGTACAGTAAATGTATAATAAAATAGATTAAGAACATTACAAGCTTCTGCTGTCTATTTATATACAAATTTGTTCCAAGAGTATGAATAAATGTTTTGGTATTTTTTAACCATTTTCTTTTCGTTATTGTATATGAATTAGATTAGGAATATAACATAAAAATTCAAAATTGGATTTAAATACTAGTGTAACAATAGTCACTGCTTTAAATCAAATATTCATATATTTATTTGAGTATTCATAAATAACTATCCTCATACCAATCATATAATAACCTTTAACCTTTATAAATTTTAAAAAGAAAATGAAGTGAACATAAGTTCATGGAGATTTTTTAGAATCTTTGCATTTTCTTGCTGGGAAATAAACACACAACATGGCCTGTAGATATAGCCTATAGACAAAGCATGCATTAATCGCTATTAATCATGCTG